TGTGAACTGGCCACCGAGATCGTGCGATTTGATCCCGTTAGACTCGTTTTTGTGGGGTTTCCCCAAGTCACAGGTGTATGCGAATAAGCCACAAACCCAGCGGTCCTCAAAGCCAACATAACTCATGCCATCGGTCAAATTCAGTCATGGAAAATTGGGCGTTACAGATGCGCTCTATTCAGAGGTCTTTCAAACGAATAAAAAATTTCGACGATATCTCACACACACTTTGTTTCATGAATATTTAAAGATAGGAAGCGCTTAATGAAAGACCCTACACAAGGAGTCTGACCAGAAGTCTTCCAGCAATATTTCGTGATCTACACGGTCAAAGGCTTAAGAAAAGTCACGGAACACTGCTGCTGGTTACTCTTTTTACTATTATTTCCATAAACTTGTAGGACAAAGATTACAAATCGCCCACAGCAATTTAATGCAGAGTACACTAGACTGCTGGCTGACACTGGAAGTAACAGCATTCTGGTAATGACCTATGCCATTATGCCTCCAACTGTCATCTGAAAACTGCCTTATACAGTACTGTTCCCAAGTAGAGAGCACTGGATCTTCCGGGAGAAGTAAATTTTAAGAGCATTCAGAGATGGATCATTAACACCTTCGGGCTCTGGTGCAGGTGTTTTCAGTTGCAGACCCAGCACAGAGATATTGAAGAATGTATAATAATCAAACCGGATTCATCAATGTGACCTACATTCGTCTTTTCACTTCTTTTTGAAGTATCTACAGTCTTTTGACAGATGACCTACTCTTTGACAGATGTAACATTTTCCCTTGAACATTTTTTTAACTGGTCCTTTCTTCATTATGAAGGCGGGTTCTTTCTTGCTGTTTTCAAATTTTACTGCTTCTGCAGAAAGACGTTCTTTTACTAAGTCTGTTGTAAGTTGAGCACCACAATCTTCCAAAGCCATGATTAACGGTTTGTAATAATCCCGAAGACTTACAAAGATAACTTCAGCTAACACACCATCTTTTATTTCGTGATAGATTGCTTCAAGTTGTTGAGCTAACTTTACTTTTTTAGAAAGGTAATAATCCATGTCTCTACAGTCATTGTACTTTATCATTACCAATTGTTCGATTAAAGCAGCAACTCTTAAAAATCATTCGGGTTCAAAGTGATCCCACACTTTTTTGCCTGTTTTCAATTCCCTTTGTTCAGTGTAGATATGAGTTTTCACACCAGTTACTATGGATGCAAGTGCTCGTTTACTTTTACCTTCAAAACCGGCTTCTTTGTCATCTTTTGTTTCATCTTCATATTCCAACAGTTCGCAATTGATGAGATGAATTTCCATGGTGAATTTCCATTCCAGTCGATATAATTTTTACTTCCCTCGAGTTTTTCGAAAGAGGCTGAAACGGTAGTATTTGATATGGACATTTTATCAGGAGCAGGTGTATCTAACCTATTCTGCCTTCTAATTGCAGTACAAGAACAACAGAAATGTTCAAATGTGCAATTCTGGGCCCATAACCTGACACAAATTGTATAATTAAATATACTTGACTTTTTTGGAACGTATATTTTGACAAGTAAACAAACTCGAATGTGTTTAAGTAACAACTACAACATAGTTATAAACAGTGGGCTCATCCATCATAAAGGAACAATCTTCATTCTGCAACAGATATCAACCTACCTAGGGATCTATGCGACTGTATTCCAAGCGAAAATCTATGCTATTGAATAGTATGCGGAGATATTGGTAGAATTCAACCTCACACACAAGTCGATAAAGATTTTCTCGGACAGTCAAACGGCGTTGGAAGCTCTTGGCTCCTACCGAGCAACGTCTGAGTTGGTAGCTAGTTGCCAAAAACGACTCTCCTCGATAAGAAGACTCAAAAGATTTTCTCTGATCTGGATTCCTGGCCATACTAGCCTGGAAGGCAATGAGGCTGCTGACTCCCTTGCAATGGAGGGTGCTGCAAGCAGCTTCATCGAACCAGAACCTGTCATTGGCATTGCTTTATGTTTTGCCAAACAAACATTGAACACCTGGATGGCAAGAAGATTTGAAAACTTCTGGCAAAATCTTCCAGGGTTGACTCACTCCAAGGCGTTCATTTACTTGAGACCAAACAGTTGTTGGACTACCGTGCTAGGAATCACACGTTGAAAGGTAAGACCTCGTTAGTCCTTAGTTTGCACAAGTTTCTCAACTTCTGAGAGTTGTCGTTTGTATGGGGGCGACAGCTGATTAACGGAAAAACAGTTTTTTTTTAAACAGTACGGATGAACTATGATGTCCAACAGGCCTCCTCAAAGGTCACTGTCGTCTGAATCAATATATGCAGTGACTCGAGACTGTCAGAAGATAGTGTGTGTCGCTTCTGTTTCGGAAATGATGAAACAGCAGAGCATATACTTTATGAATCAGGTTTTTAAAGTTTGGTAGGACCACATTTCTACCATCTGACCTGAAAGACCACTCACCATACAAACTGATCGGTTTCGTTAAGAAGCTGGGTTTATTTGGTCGAGTTTGAATAGCTCTGAGCCACAATAAACCCTTACGGGTTGCGGTGGAGGGTCGAATAGGGTCGACCTAATCTAACATAACTCAAGATCACAAATTAAAAAAATGTATTTAATCGGAATTTTGTTAGAATAATTTGTGGTCTTTCAACTACAATACAACTATTCCTTCAGAACGTCAGTCAACGTCGCGTCTGGCTTTACACAGCCACTCGCAGTTGGGGGTGAATTAAACACGGGTACATCACGAATTCAAAGATTTATAGACTTACGAGATATTTGCCGCATAATATATAAATCAGGCCGTAAAGAAGCGAGTGTAAGAACCGGCAAAGCGTGATTCACATTACCGACCGAGCCGAGATATAGGAAGGAACGTCTCTCGTAATCATTTTTGCTCTGCCATTGTGATATGATATATATACCCGCTCTATCTGATTGCGCTTATCATTGCCTGCGAGGTGTTATTAGGATATTTCACACACTCTCCGTGCGTACGACGAAGACAAAGATAGTAAAGCACTCTTGATTATAATGTGTACTGCTAATAGTACGGTTTTTTGGCGGGGAAGCCCTTCTTCTGTGGGATATTTGTTAAACGACCATTAATACTTGTCGCGGATCGTCTAAAAAGGACTCCATTTGGACCTTTCTCATTCAATGCTTATCAGGAAATCGTTGAATGTGATTCAGACATGAGTCGAACATAAAAAGAGGCAGTGTGTGAAATGTTTGTTCGATGGCCATTAGAAGTTTTTGTAGAAAATGAAACTGCGAGGGAAAAATCCTATATTCCTCATTGTAACATTTTTCATTCCAGTTGTTCGCGATTTCCTGAGAGTAATATAACTATAGGAAAAGTCAAGGGATCATCCAAATAAACAAACCACATATGAGAGTGACAGATCCAAACAAGAAAAACCCCTTCTTTTAAGAGAAGTTAATAGCTTTCTGTAACTGTAGAGTAAAGAGGGTAAGTATAGGTCCACAGTACTTAGGCCACATGTGCCTCACTGTACATCATCCCGAGTTGTCCTCCTAGGTCATCGTCCATCCTGTCCTTTCCAGGAAGGTGGACAGGTCACTAGGAAACATCTCCTTTATATCGGCAGGGGTAGGCCATGACTCGCCGAACACACACTCTCTTATTGACGATAACTCCGGACACTCGCATAGGACATGTCTGACAGTTTCATCTTCCTGTTCACACATTCTACATAGAAGTGTGTCCACTAGCCCCATATTATGCAGGTGTTGCTTTAGTTAATAGTGGCCAGTCAGAAATCCTACTGTTAGGCGTAGGTTTTTCCTGGTCATCGCCATATATTTCTTCGGCGCCAGCTTCCCAGGGTCGCCCAGAGTGATCTTGGCAAGACTGCATCCGTTGATTTCATCCCATCTTTTCAGGGATTGAGCACGGGTGTGACGTTTGGCTAGTTCCGCAATTGTCGAAGTCATCAGGCCGTAGGTGCCACTGAGTCCTAAAATTCTTAGTCCAGCCGCTTCCTTGTCTAAAGAGTCGGTAATGCCGACTCATGTCGGCATTACCGACTCATGTCGTGCCCTTCAACCCACCTCAGGATAATGCACTCTAGTACTAGCCCTGAGGTAACACGTTGTCTGTTCAAGGCTAACAGGGCTTGTCACTATCAGTGCAGATTGGTTTGTTTTTGCCAGAAATTCCTTTCCTGGATATTTCTTTTGTGGTGATTGGGCCTTATCGCTGAAGATGATATATATTTGTTAGACGTCTGCCAGAGACGAAGCGCGGACCTTTGTCCCTTCCGTGTGAACTGGGCCTGAGGTCCAAAAATCGCCAGAATGAAGCGCCATAAGAAAATACATGGGATTTTGGACTGGAACTCTTGTAGCTATATTACTGGCACATCCCAATCGCGAAAACAGCAAAAAAAGACGACAGCTACTGTATGGTGGTCAGCGGCTGGTGTGATTGACTATAACTTTCTGGAACCGGAACAAACTATCACAGCAGAGGTCTATCGTGGTGAAAATATGCCGCAGAAGAGGTCCGATTCTGCTCCACGACAACGCCTGTCCGCACGTTTCAAAAATCAAACATATTGGACGTCGTTCTGCCTCATCCACCATACTACCCAGACCTCTCGCCAACCAACTACCATCCTTTTTTAGCACATCAATAACTTTCTCACCGGTAAAACCTTCGCCAATTGGGACTAGGCTATAACGGCATTCATCGACTTCATCGAATCCCGAGCACAGAATGTTTCTACTGAAGGAGTTGAACGACTTGTGTTACCCTGGCTAGAGTGCACCGATTCAAATAGCGCTTATTTTGATCAAATTAAATAAGCTTTTACTGTTATATTACAGTTTAAAGAAAACTGATTAAAATGGACAACACCCTTGAAACAACTTGAAACAACTATTCATGACTTGTTTTCATGAATATTGCCTTAATGTTGAAACATATTCGGTTTGTATTTTCAATGCCTGTAAAGTGGGGTTGACCACTTACCTAGATGATATAAAATTTTATATTTCCGGGTTTTCGCCACGAAGTAACCGTTCCGGTAACTGCCCGCGCGATTCTCACAAAAATCTACACCCATCAACATCTGATACTTTCAACTCAACTGGTCCTTTTATCATCAAGGAAGCACAACTGAAAATCTTCACACACCTTTGAAAAAGGTGTATCTTCTCACACACAATAAGCACTTCTGTAGATATCAACGGTTAACTGATCTAGACGAGCTAGTTTCTTTTCCTTTATGTAACTTTCTTATCGCATATTTACTCCGAAATCATCGTGGAAGAGAGATGGAACGATAAGCAATGATGATACGATTGCCGAGATAACCAGAATGTGTTTATTCATACAAAAAGATAACGCTCAAGTTATACGGAAAAGTTTCCGTTGATAAACAGATAATGAAACGGTTTAACTCTGAAATATCCACTCCATGACTTGGATTATAAGTGCGTAGGTAGACAGGGTTTTACTTGAAAATCCAAAACCCTGATAGCTTCGAGTGCAGCTTGTCAAATCTAGGAAGTGACTTCAGTCTCGTCTTAAGACTTCCCCTAAGACAACCGGAGCTCAGTCTTAATGACAATCTTGTAGTGTCCACTTCGATGAAGTATAGTACGGGACAAAAGTCTGTGCTCTAAGAAAAAGGCGGCTCGAAGTTGAAACGAAAAGTTTTATGTTTGTGTTTCAGTTGCGAAGAAATTTTCTCAGAGACATGAATAAATACCGTGAAGAAGGTCGAACAATAATTTATATGGATCCATACTACACATTCACATGAGAATAGTTGGGATAATTATTTGAATGAAGGGTTGCACCAATTTCAAACGGACAGAGACTTATAATTGTGAATACTGTAGGACAAAATGGATTTGTGCAAAATTCATATCTAAAATTCAAATCCATCACAAAATCGGGCGACTATCATAGCGGAATGAATTACGACAATTATAAAAAGTGATTGCAAGAAATGTTTATTCCCAATCTTCCAGAAAAAAGCGTTTTGGTTTTAGATAATGCCCCACACCATAATGTTCGGTATGAAAAGTGCCCAAACATGTCCTCGAGGAAAGATGAGATGAGAGAATGGTTGAGACGAAGCAACATTCATTTCACGGATGGTATGCTGAAAATTGATCTCTATTGCATTACTAAAATCCATAAACCACGATTCAAGTTGTATGAAATTGATAGGATAAAAATCATGGACATACTGTACTCAGACTGACTACTTGTCATTCAGATTTGAACCCAATGGAATTAGTATGGGCATCACTGAAACAATATGTGTCTGATAAAAATGTGGACTTCAATTTCAAATTTCAAATGGAAGTTTATGTGACGAATTATTCACTTCGTTTTCTCAAGAGCAGTGAAAAAAACGTAGCGAACACGCTTAATGTTTCGATGAATTTTATGCTTCGAATGAACTTGCTCTTGATTTCGCAATAGACAAAATTATCATAAATGTTCAAGGTGATAGTTAAAACGATAGTACCAGTGACGATAGTGATACCTCTACAAGCGATTCCGATCTTCCTGGAGTTGAACCTTTGCAATTTTTTGATCATAGCATTAGTTATATTTTTTTTGGATTCATTCATCTTAATGAATATAATGTTTTCCAAGAAATTTCCATTTTGAAATTAAATGAAATGAAATTAAATCAACCCAAATAAATTACATTTTCAGAATAAGTCTTTCTACCTTTTCTTTATGAACCCGAAATTAAATGCAATACAGACTGCTGAAAAACAAAACTCATTTCAATTCAATTTTGTAAATACCGCATTATCATACAAAACTAATAAATCAGTTGAAAAACCCTTTATTGCTACTTGTGGCGAGGACTTTACTCTTAGGCCATCCTAAAACCCAAATAGGCGCACCAAGTTGCAAGGTGGATTTCATCCTTTTCTATCCTAATGCGATCTCTGTCAAAAGTGTACACAGATAGTGATATGTTACAAGTCGCTTCCTGGATTTGACAAGTTGTATAATTAATTTTCAGGAACTACTCCTTCAAATAATATGGAAGCAGAGAAAAGAGAGGAAGAAATATGCAATTGAAATATTGAGTTGAATGAAGTGTTATTCACTGGAATTGTTGGCAGGTTTTTATGCCTAACGTTTCGTTAACAATTGCGACAGTCTTTATCGAGGGCGACGAGAGAACGTGTCCTAGTATTCCTCTCACATCGCTTACATTTGGGTTCCGTACGCTGGCTTTATCCTATCGATAGTGGACATGGTTTTGTTTCTCAACGGCTAATTGTCCAGATCAGTGTATTGTTGAGTGCAGGTAGCCAAAGTGTATTATGTTAACTTCCTCTTCCTATTGGTTGAAATTAACTGTGTTTCGAATTTGTATTGCCTTCCTAGATAGTAGTGTTCTGTCAAGCACTAGGGCCTCTTCAAATATGATAACATGATGACCTCACCACAGCTACAAGAGATCCAGTGTAACTTTGCTGTTGCTAAAGGTTCTCTGGGGTCTTTATCTGACCTCAAACTCTATGGTTTTCGTTGGTCTGACATGTAAGCTCACATTCTTTGATCCTTTGATAAGTCATCAATTCGGACAGCTATGTTTTAAACAATAACAGTTTTCACATCCTAATTGACAGATTCGTGTCTTGCTCAAGTCAATCACCATCATTCTTCATGTTTTTTCTAGAGAGAAATTCACGTACTTATAAAATTATTGCAACAATTGTCACATTTATTGTTATAATTTTTTTAAGGAGATCATCATTATTTTTCAGTAAAAGTAGCTCAAAAATAAACGATGTAATGTAGGAATGTGAACACAGAACATAATTAGTGAATACATATTTATTTACGTGAAAATTTTTAGGATTATAAACAAATTATAATTTTGGGATTCATAATTGTAATCCAAATTGGTTATGATGAAGAGGATATACNGTTTCATTTTGAGGACAAAACACAAGCAATACAGGGAAGTCCTTTAGGTGCTCTAAGATCGGTGCCTATGAGAAAATAGCGATTTACGTTGGATCTGAATCTCTGGAGATTAAATTCATTTGGAAAAACATTATCAAAAACGTCCAAATGAAAGAATTCTTAAACAGTGAAGTTTATGGTGTACTGAGTTCAACCTCAAAACGATGAGCAGCCACAGCCCGTCGCGTATTTCTGATATGTAACGCTCTTGGTGGAATCAAATGTGCTAAGTCACCTCCCGTGAAAGTATATATAGATAGATAGATAGATAGATAGATATATTTGATCGTGTTATATGTAAATTACATTTATGACAAGTTAGGAAAGAATTGTACAATGTTACAATGTACAAAGTTGTGTATAAATAAAAAAGACAGTAAAATTTGCGACGGTTCAGCACAACATCTAAAACATGAAAATATTAAAATCATTCCGTATATGTACAGTTCATTTAATCTTTCAAATTATAAAAACAGTTTTTATAAGATATTTTTTCACCCTCCTCTTGAATACATTCATGCACAACAACACTAGATCAGAAGGCAAAACATTGTAGAGTTTGATATCCAGCGAATTACGCACTGACATTTCTAGCTTGACCGGGGAGTGTATCAGTTTTTGTGCATTTCTGGTAGTGTAATTGTGTTAGTCTGAATGGGAAAAATATTTATTTTTATTCTTGTGAATCAGCAGTGTGTGGTAGATGAAAATACAAGGCAATGGCATGATTTTGAATTTTACAAAAAGTGGTTGGCAATGTTCATTAAGTGGGACACCTGCTATAATCCTGAGAGCTTTTTTTGCATACTGAAAAATGCTCTGAGAGCATAGGAAAACCTACCCCATAGGAGTACACCATATGTGTGGAATAGTGTTTGGGTGCTCAGAACTTTCTTCAGCCTACGAAGTAGATAAAGTTGGTTGGATAGTTTTTTACACAACATTTCAATGTAATTTTCCCATTTGAGTGAATCATCGACAGTTATGCCAAAAAGTTTAACATGATTGTTATTCGTTAAGCGATTATTTGATGATATAATAATATTTTGGGTTTCGTGAGGTGCTTGTTTCGTGAGAACCATTTTTCCGCCCTTTCTTTCAGTTTTTGGTTTACTTTTAATATAACGTCAATATCGAAACTTTCATTTAGCATTGTCGTATCGTCTGTAAAGCAAATTATTGTTCTGGGAAGCATATAGTCGAAAATGTCATTTATGTAGATAACAAATAATGTAGGTCCCAGAACAGACCCCTGAGGGATGCCATGACACAATGTCTGTAAAAAGATTTGAAATTTGTATAAACTGTCCACTATGATCTGAAATACTAGGATCTAAGGTTCCAGTACAGCATTCACTATCGTTTAAACTAGTCATTATATTGTCTATTCAACTTGAAGATGTAGGAGTTACTCTAGTAGCGGTAGTTATTTTAGGGTTAAGTCCGAACGATTTGATGATATTCAACCAGGAATTTGAGATATAGTTATTTTTAGAAATGTCGATATTGAATTCCCCTATTAATATTATGTTTTTATATCTTGCTGATATCATTGCTAGAAGTTCTTCAATTTGACTGAAGAATAGTTTATATTCTTTGGATAAAGAAGATCTGTATGTTGTTATCAATGCAAGGTTTACATTAGAAGAGAGACAAATCTCCAACCTTTCTTCGATTTTACAGACTCTTAAGGTTGCTAGTGGTGTTCTTGTCTCCAACCAGGCGAATGGCTCTTTTCTGGAGAGAAGCCAGCAACTTCAGGATATGCTAGGGGAAGAGCTCCTTACATGTGAACAAAACTCCAAAGAAGGTTTGATCTGACCTTTATAAAGCATTAAAAGATGCTGAGGTGTGTACAGTTTTCTGGTTCAGAACAATGTTCCAAGCTTTTGAGATGCAGCCTTTGCAACTTCAGCGACATGATTTCGCCAAGACATATTGGTGTCCATTTTAACCCCCAACAAACTTATCGAAGCAGGAAGCGGGATTGTTTTTCCTGACATTTATATCGGGTTCGGAGACGTTTATCTTTTTAGAGAAAACTGATGCTTGGGTTTTTGTCGCATTGAATTGAACCTAGTTACTTCGACCTCAATTCGAAATCACCTCTAGATCCTCATTAAGATATGCATTCTCCTGCTGCCGGTGAAGATGTGCACCCGCAACCGATGTACTGAAATCCAAATGGAATGACGAGGCAAGTTATTCCAAATATGGGTGACATAAGATCGATTATTGATCTTTG